GAAAAGGGGCGGGGGCAGACCAAGAAACAGACTCTTAACTGTAGAAAACTGATAGCTGCCAAAGGGGAGGTTGGTGGGGGGCTGGGTCAAGTGGGTGAAAGGAATAAAGGAGGGCACTTGTGATGAGCACGAGATGATGTATGGAAATGCTACATCACTACATTGTACACCTGAAATGAACAGTACACTCATGTTAATGAATTAGAATTTGAATAAAAACTTAAAAAAAAAATAACAGCCACTGAAAGCTTTATCTACCCTTTCCAGCAACTATCAAAGCAAAGCTCGAATAATTTTAACCCATCATGTCACACATACAGAAAAACTATACTTAAGTTAAATGAAAACTTTAACCCACCTGACAGATAGCATACGTGGGGCATGGCACCCCAATTGGAACATCAGAGATAAAGAATATTTTTCCAGGCCTTTTGTTTTCATTGCCACCATAGTATATATTTTTTGCTTATGAGAAAGGCACTTACCCTGGGGAAATTCTTAGGCAGAAGGAGAAAAGTTTCTCAGATATTTATAGCCAAAATATTTCAAATCATAGGTAGCTATATTTATGCTTGGTTCTTATTTTAATAAACAGTAAGTATTGCTGCCCCCAAAGAAAATTTCAGTATCACTTTAGAAAAAAAAAAAATTCTCCTTCACCTCAAATGCAGGACTTTTTTGTTTTAAAAAAGCAGGTAAAAGTTTTAAAAACACTGCAAAATGTCTTACAGCATATAGGCCTACTAGAATCTGCCTCTTCAAATCTTTTCTACACTGATTAAATATTTTAAAAATCTACTCTTAGCGAGGAAATAAAAAAATAACCCTCGGGCCAACTTCGGGGGGAGATCAGAAGATTATGTTCATCTAAAGCTTCATCCTCCCTGAGCCAGAGACCAAGTCACTGAGAGCACTGCTTCAGGGGGTCACCCTATGGATGTCCTCCATTTTAAGGAGGCAGAAGTTGAATGAGAAATAAGAAATTTGCTTGTCTTAAGCCTATGACTCAAGAGAGCACCATAAGTACATAATGTCCACTTGAAATATCACCAAAACCAGCAAACATGCAGTCAGAAACCCCCTACTCTGGTCCAGTATAATTGCTGTGGTTAATCTTTTACCAGCCAGTTAAACGCCTCTTTAAAAGCTTTTTGACAATTTCTTAACAATGTCTTTGAAATCATCATCCTCACTGAATAAGAACAACCAATGTATAAGCGCCTACCAAGGCAGAGAGAGGCAGGAGAAGCTCATCTTCCAGAGACAGGACTTACAGGGGAACTGAAATCTGAGGATAACTCAGGAACCTGATTTCTACATTTTCTGAGCCTCGGTTCCCAAAGGCCTGCCTCTTGGCTACAACAAGAAACTTTCAGCTCACACAAAGCCTGTCCCAGATGTTTATGCATCTGGGACAGGTATCTGGGCAAAAGGAACTGTTAACATGAAGCAAACCTTTCTGGGGAAAACAGAATAATGACTAAAGACCCCCCAAAGCTTTTCATACTAATTGCAGTGTCTGATTTAGAGCTCACAAAGCTCTCTCTAAAGATATCCGTGAGCACTCACTGGAATGGGATAGGCTCTGAGATGTTTACAAATGAATATGGGGATTTATTCTGTGGCCAAACATTAAATACCACAACAAGTTGTGAAAGCTTTCATTCTGGAACAACAGCAGCAAACAGCAGCCCAAGAAGAGGCCTCACGGTTCCTTCCCAGCAGGGATCTGGGAGGGCTGAGCCTATGCACCCACTGTCTCAGAAGGCAGATCACAGACATGAAAGGGACATGTAGGATTTCACAAAAAGAGCACTGCGCTAGAAGTCAGGAGATTTCTGATTGTGTTTCTGTCCCCAACCCATCATTTTTACCTTGGCAAAGCAATTTAAGCACTTGAGCCTCAATTTCTTTCTTTGTAAAAGGAAATCATGGTGTGGAGGGAAGAAAATGAACAGCCATTAAAAGTCTATGATGTAGAAACACTTTGTAAAGACTGTAGCCAACAATTCTGCAATGAGGGTTACAGCAGCTTGTTATTACAGAGGAGGACATGGAGGTTCTGAGTAAAATCATTTGACCAGAGTCAAAAATTCTGGAAGAGATAATAGAGGTAGAAATCTTAGCATGGGAGCTGGATCCAGGGGGCAGGAAGCTCTCCCCATTTCACTATGTTCCTTCCATTTGGAACTCCAAGATGTCCAAGAACTCTGAATTCAAAGCTAGTTTTCCAGAACACTGTAAAGTTACATTTGTCAAGATAATTTTCTTTTTTAAAAATTAGCAGTTTGTTAGAATGGTATATAATTTTTAAATGTCGATATATAAAAATCTAGGACCTAAGCCCTCAAACGTTAGACTGCTCTGAATGCTAAAGTGCATTTTTCTTGGTGAAGAAGGATTATTAAACGTAGTTACATAACACTCCTATATACTGTACACTCTCATAGGTTTTAACATCTACAAAGCTCTTTCTCCTATGGGATTGCAGCCAATCCTCCCGACCACACACTGTAAGGCTGGAAGATAACCGTATACTGCAGATAAGGACTGGAGGTCAATGTTTGGGGGGCCCACATCACCTCCCTTTGTTCCACTTCTGGTTTCAGCAGCAGCTGCAGTGTAAACCTCTCCTTTGGACAGGCAAGTCTGAGAGGAATTGTGCATACTTCAGGAAGAGTTCAGTGAAATCAAGCCCCCATGGAAGACCCTGTTGCCTGCAGAAGTGACTTCGGGGACTCAGTTATACATCCTCCTTCCCTGTCTCCCTCTCCCCACCTTCTCATTCTTGCTTCCAAATAAAATAACCGATGTGCTCTCAAACCACTGTATCTGGCCAGCCTGTGGGGGGACCCCAAACTCTGAAAGGCACTGAGGTTTCAGGACAGGAACTGACCCACGCCTGGCTTCCGGGCTGGCAAGTGATGGTGAAAGAGCTTTCTTCTAGTTCTTCTGGTTCTAAACTCAATGAATCCCTTTCATTGTTCACGTTCAGTAGGGCACGCGGGTTAAGAAACTGCAATTTCTACCTTTTGCCAATATGTGAGACTTAAAACCAGTTTTCAAAATACATGTTTTAGCACAACATTAAAAATAAATGATAACCATCATATTTGCTGGGGGCTACATAGATGGCCTGCTGGGCTACCATGAAAAATTTTGCATTTCCCCAAATTTCAAAGTATTACATTTTGCTTTGCTGATGCTAGACAAGTGCATTAGAAATGTTAAGTTCACCTCAGAGTTTTAAAAGAATGAGCAAGCTGAAGTTTTAGGACTCTCAGTGCTTCATGTTTAACTACTAACAGAAACAGGATTAGAATCTTTTCTACCCCAGGCACACTCAGGCTTTGCCTACCAAATTTCTTCAGTGGAGGGCTGGTAGATAATCCTCAATAATGAGCATTGGTCTGGAGCTTTCCAGTGGGCATCCTTTTCCCCACTTCATTTTCCCAGCATCTGCTTTGCCCCTTTTACATTAATAGCACCACAATTTTCCTTGGAGGAACCAACCCTTCTGCACTCTCTCAATCCATGTACTTTGGTGTAAATGACCCACCAGGCCCTAGTTCCAGAGTTCAGAATATGAGCAAATGCCTGATCAATTAGTGTAGCCTCTTCCCTGGCCACAGTGGTTGTCTCAGAGAGAAGGAACCCAAGACTGGCCAGTTAGAGTGGACACTGAGACTCCAATGGGTCCACTGAGAAATGGCCACTCTTTTCCAGGGGGGACTTACGCTAGAGGATGGCAAGTCTTTGGTGTCTGGCAGCCATCTTGCCACCACACCAGAAAAGCCTACTTGAAAATTCAGCCAATAAAGGGGAAAGCATAGCACACAGATGGAGGGAGACAAATGGCTGCTTTGGCACATGTTAGATCCTCCCTGAACCTAGATTTGCCACTGGAGTCCCAGCAGTCACTACATTCCTGCCTCATCTTCCAGGCTTCTGCCACCTGCTAGTCAACAAGTCCTGCTTGAAATGAGCTCCGTCCTCAGGCATTAAAGGGACTCAGAGCAGCACTTCTCTGAAGAAACAAGGATCTACTGTCCACTATAGATCAGAAAGCTAGGAAGTCAAGCCACAGAGCAGGGCTAATCAAAATCTTGGCAGAATCGTTTAGTCCCAGCTTCAGATAGCTTCGGGAATGAGGTGTTGAACTAGTCTCTTTATGGATCCATGAAGCAGCAGGCCTTAGACAAACACCACCACCTTTACTGGAGGGAACCCTAATTCCCAAGACCTGTGTGCATCCACCAGCTGCTTCGGTTCACACTCTAACTCAGCTAGAGCTCAGAGGAAGGGCCTTAGATTAGGAACTCCTTTTGTTTGGCATGTGCATGTATGTGTGTGAATGGGGGGGGCAGGGAGGGGAAGGCACATGTGTGCCTTGTTTTTGTTTATTTTTGCTTACAATTACATAGTAGCATTGAGAATCCATGTTTTTCTATCTGTAAGATTTTGGAAGAATTCCTCATTACTCTTCTACCCTCTGATAAGCTAAGTAACAAGAACTGGAGAGGTAGATAAGAGAAAAAAGTGGAAACCAAACCAAGACACCTGCCTCACGGTATTAAGGATGTGGAGGAAACAATGACTTATATTTGTTTGTTTTCCCCCCTTCCTCAAGAAAAATCACCATCAAATATTTAAACTTCAGGTATAATGTTCCAAAGCCAGGGAGGCAAGTTTCAAGCTTGAAATGTGGGCAGGTGTGTTAGCAATGATACCTGGGGAGTTTTCAGAGCCTAGGACAGTCCTGATGGTAGAGGGGAGATGAGGTAGACGTAGGGTGAGCACTGGGTTTACCAGATGACCTGGGTCTGAAGAGGTGTGGGGATAGGTGCTGGCCTGGGAAGAGAGTATAAATATAGGTCTTCAAGCCTTTGGCTTCTCTTAAATACACGTGCAGTGGAGACAACTCTCCACATAGTATTCTGTCATGTTTGGAACACTTGAGGTCAATACATACTGTTTTTGAGTGTGACACACAAACTTACCTGATGAACTCCACAGAATAGTACTGAATCGGGGAGCTTCCTTCACTCTTTCCAGGTTTCCAAGACAGGGCCACCTCAGAATCTGAGACCACAGTGACTTGTGGCTGCTGGGGTGCTGTCGGAGGCAGGCAGGTATCTAGGTGGGACAGCAAACACTTAGAGTTGACTGTGGTCTTTGCTGCTAAAGATGTTTAATATATAAAAAGCACATGTGCTTCCTACAGTTTAAACATCTCTATTCAGTATGGACATTGGGGAAGTTACGTGTTATGGTGAGTACTTTGAAGTGTGTAAACCTGGCAATTCACACAGACCTGTACCCCTGGGGCTAATAATACATTATATGTTAATAAAAAATTAAAAATTAAAAAAACAAAACCAGAAACATCTCTGTTCAGAACAGTCTCCAAATCCAAGCCAAATGAACACAGAAAAATAATCACAACTGAATATACCATGTAAAGTTTGAAATGAGAACAGGGCTTCCCTCCTTCCCTCAATGCCGTGGCTGAAATCTAACTAAATTAAGACCATGCCATCAGCTCTGGGACACACAATAGTGCATACCCTTAGAATCCTCAACTACACTCCCACCTCCTAGTAACCTTCCATCTCTGTTTGCATGTTGGAATGGACACTCGCAAGGAAAATGAAATGCATAACATTACTGTCACTCAAGTTCAGTTTTGTGCGTGTGTGTGTGTGTGTGTGTGTGCATATGCGAGTGCACACGCATGTGTGTGTGCGTATGTTGCCCCGGCCATCAGAACGCATACCAATGGTAGGATGTTTGGGACATGCCCTCCCACCCTCATGTGTAAAGATGTAAGAGTCACACACAATCTTATCGCCCCAAGGAAACTGCTATTACTATTTTCATATCCAGACTTTCACATCTCCTAGCCTTTACTCACACTATTGCTTATGCCGGAAACATTTTTTCTTGCCGTCTCTCCTAGAGGAATCCTATGTAGTTCTCAAACTTTGGGCCAAAAATATGAATCTTTCTAAAATCTTCCCTCAGCCTTGGGGTGGAGGAGGGCTCCCTCCTGAGTGCTCCAGAGCCCGCTCAGATGGCCTGGAGCTGCTCACCTACCATCTGCTTCTCCCTCCACAACGAGCTTGTGAACGGTGATGATGGAGCCACCTTTGTCCCCTGGTGCCCAGCAAAGCGCCACTTTAATGAGCCTTTGTTGGGTTCCCTTTGCCTATAAAATCTCCTCTCCCACTCCTTCCTCCCCTTCCTGATTCCCCCTTACTGATCAGTCATTTTCCCAGGGAATTCTCACCTCACCCCTGCATGGGATCTCCCTTTACATGTTCTTTCAGCACTAAATAGCATTTACCACCGTCCATGACTACACCTTAACTAGGTAATGTCTTGACCCACCCCACTAAGTTTTGAGAGGACAAAGGCTGTGCCTGTTTTGGTTCATCACCAGAGCCTCGCACAGTGCCTGGCACATAGTAGGTCCTCATTGGTATACACGGAATGAAGGGATGAGTGAATGGCAGCCATTGTTTTTCTACACTTAATGAATTGAACCCATTTTACCTTGGGGCAAAGTGGTAACATGCTGAGGAGAACTAAGCCGCCCTTTGCCAGTCTGGCTGTAAGCTGCTATGCTCACTCGATATTCAGTGCCTGGTTTCAAATCTCCGATCACTTCCTCCTGTCAACGACCAAACAGGAAATGCATCAATGACCAGAAGTTCTTTTCAAGCGAACCAGACAATTTCCAGAAGGACTGTACCTCGAGGTCCCTGTGAAACTGCTTACGACAGATTGCTTTGCTTTCTCTAGGATTGGCCAAGTTTTAAAACTGCAAAGAGGAAAACACCATCACATATTTCCAGAGAGTTACCCTTTACTGGCATCTATACACGGTTCTAGAACAGAGACTCAGTCGTCTTATCAGATCTTGCTTTTAACATTTGAGTTCCTTGATCAGAGTACTGAGCTGCTAGAATTCAGGGAATCATCTTTTCCAGGGTTGGAATCCACCAGTTTTTTCTCTACATTTGCACATCACAGATGTTCAGAGACTAGCCACAACAGCAAACTGAGGTCTTGATTTGTACCAGTAAAAAAAGGTCTCAAACTTTGGTTCTCAAATTTTTAGCTGCATCACAATCACCAGGAGGGCTTCTTAAATTGCTGGGCCTACCCTCCCCCTACCCCGGGGGTTGCTGATTCAGTACATCAGGGAAGGGACCCGAGAATCTGTATTTCTAAGAAGTTTCCAAGTGCTGCTGTGGGTCCAGGAACCCCACATTGATGAAGGATGTATATGAACTTCACCTGCACCATGTCCCTGACCAGAAGGCCCCAGCTGGAGGCTTTCTGAAAGCGGGCTCCACTTCAGGCTTTGGTGAAAGCAACATGTCCCGGGGGCTACAGTGCTAACTAGGAAGTGGGAGCCTGGGTTCCACTGGTCCTAGCAAACTACAGTGGAAAGGACACGGGCTTTGGAATCAATGAATCCTGATTCTGCCACTTATTGCTAGCTGTGGCCTTGAAATTAAATCCCCTGAGCCTCAGTTTCTTCCTCTGTAAAATGGGAGATGATATAGAACTGTCTTGCATAGCTGTCATATTTGGGATAATGTGTGTAGAGTAGCTGGGATGAGGGATGTCCTCAAGAAATGGGTTGTCATAACTACTGTCCCATGTGAGGCCCCTCCTCTTCCCTGCTTACCTACCTTCCACCACTCCTCTGAAGCCCCAACCTTCCCCATGACATCTGATCACCCAGGCCTGAGCTTACCCTACCAAAGGCTGTGCCACTGATCAGTACTTTTAAATATTACAAATCATGTACTCCTATTTCTCCTCTGGGGCTGTAAGCTCCTTGACAGCAGGGACCCTGCCTTGGACTTTTTCAGAGCCGCCTCTGCAGATGATCAAGTAGTCATTGCTGCCAAGGAGAATGTGCCTGCTGATCAACAAAAATTTTAGAAGGATTCAACAAAGACTTATCGAATACTTACTACGGGAGTCCTTAACCCTGGGTGCACATAAGAATCGCTAAAAAAAAAAAATACCAATGCCTGGACTCCACTCCAGACCACTTAAATCAGAATCCGTGGAAGGCAGGGCCCCCAGGGGTCAGTGTAAAGCTCTCAGCTGAGACAAATGGGCAGCCAGGTACATGAGCCCCGGATGCGGGGCTCGGCTCGCCTCCTGCGCTCTGCATTCCATCTGTTGCCCGCCTTCTCCTGTGACTCCATCCCCTCCCCTCCCTACGGGGTCCTTCTGGGATTACTCACTGTGCTCAAGTCTCTCCCACCTCAAGAACAGTCAAGTATTCTCCAGCACACCTGCGCCCACCTCCTCTCCACAGGAGCAACTTTCTTGAAGGAGCTGCCTCCACTTCTGATTCACCCCTCCCCGGCCTCTCTGCACTACGAAACTACAGAGATATTCTTGCCCCACAAGGTCACCACACAACTTTGTAGTAAATCCAATGGGGATGATTCTCTGTACTTGACTTTTTGTACCTCTCAGTACTGTTGCCTAGCCTTGCTTCTTAAATTTCTTGGTTCCCTTGGAAGCCATGACAATGCTCCTTCTTGGTCTCCTTCTACTTGTCTCATTGCTCCTTCTCAATATCGTCCACCCACTCCCTTTCTCTGCTTGCCCCACAGGTATTGGTTTTTCCCAGGGAGTCGTCCCTTGCCATCTCGCCCTCTCACTCTGTCATCTTGCCTGGGTAAGCTCATCTACTACTTCCTCAGCTTCCAGAACCACCTTCGCTTGACACCTCCCAAATCTGCCTCTCAGCTCTGGCCGCCCTCTTGATGTCCAGACACGGGTTTGCAACCCCCTCTAGACTATCTCTACCCAACAACTACCAAGCTGCTGAGGTTCAACATAACCAAATTTCACCTCATCTTTTCTCCCCTGCTACTGAAAACAAAACAAGGAATTTCTTCCCATGTTGCATTCACTCTCTCATTACCCAAACAACAAATTCTTGACACTCTCCTCTCTGTGTTCACCTCCTCTCTAACCACCATTCAACCAGTTACCAATACTGTCACTGGGACTTGCTCACGTCACTTGAATCTGTTTAGGTCATCTCGTCCTCATAGACGCTTAAGGCCAAGTCCCCATAATTATGACAGTGGGTTCCGATTCTCTGTCCACCTACACTGCCTACACCACCAGTATAGACCTCACCTGCTAGAGTTATCTTCCCACACCTCAAATCTGAGCATGTCACTTCCCATTTTATAATCCCCTTAGAATGGCATAGTTGTGTCCCCCTGTTTATCCTTCCAGCACCATCTCATGTCATCTCTTTGCCTTGCATTCTACATTCCAGTCATACATAAGAACTTGGCAGGGCTCAAATTTATGCCATTCAATTCCTTGCCTCTGGGCCTTTGAACCTGCTGCTCCTTCTACATGAAATGCCCTTCTCCCCACTCTTGCCTGGCTCACCCCTGCTCATCCTTCATGACTCAGTTCAGCTGAGACATTACCTCATTTCTCTGACCCCCAGCCTCCAGTCTGGTTAGGCGCCCATCCTCTACGCTTCCCTGGTGTCCTTGGTGTATCTCCATCTTAGCACCACTCACCTTAGATTGTAAGTGTCTGTTTATTTGTCACCTTCTCCTCACCCACTTGAGGGCAGGAGCAAGTTCTTATTCCTCTGGCAACCTAAAGCTTAGTGGAGACAGGTAGTGAATGCTTAAGCAATGCTTTTTTGATGAATGAATGAATAAATAGAGGAAAGAAAGTGAATGAGTGAAAGAAAGAAATCCAATCAAGGTGCCCAATATAAGCAGATTACCTCATGGAGAACCAGCTTCTATGACTGACCCCTCCATCTTGATTAATAGCGTCGGTACCACTGTCCCAGGCCCTGGGGTTGGCAACTCCAGAGACAGGCTGACTTTCTCTTACCCACCTCTCTCCAGCCACCTCCACGTGCCTCTCAGACCTGCTCCCTTCCTCCACTTCCTCTGAATCTCTGCCATTGCTACAGGCTCTCTGAGGCTGTCTGCCCCCAGTCCTTCCTCCTCTCCTTTCTGCTCTGCTCCATCTTCCATGCAGCTGCACAAGGGGGCGTGGCTGAACACGCGGACCTCACCCCAAGCCCCCTTCCGGTCTTAACTCCTTGCATCTGTGCATCTCAGTTCCCCTATCCGTCCCCTGGTTCCATGTCAAGTGAGATATTAAGAGACTGGAGGTAGCAGGTGGATAAAAAGTTTCTCACTTCTCTCTCATCAGCCATGCCCAGGCTCTTCCCATGAGAGCAAAGATATACTTTCAAACCAATGCCCTCACAGACTTTTGCTTTAGGATCTTTTCCCCCTTGAAGTCCTTATGCTGGAATGACATACGGGAGGAGCAGCATGGTTATAGATTATTATAGATATTGGCTCTGAGCCAATACCAAATACGGCTACTATTACCATGTATTGTGTGTTTTCTCTGTTCCAGGAACACGTAGCCTGATTTAATTCTTTCTTTAGTCCTGTGAAGTAGATACCACTCTTACTTTCATTTACAGAGGAGAAAAGAGAATCCCTGAAAAGTTAATGATTTGCTCAAGAACATAAATTTATTAAGTGGCAAAATGCAGATTTGAACCCTGCTTTGTTTAACTCCAAGGCCCAAGTTCTAATTCAAAAATACATGTACAAAAAATATTAAAATTTAAATCAATAATAAATATTTATCATAAACACTGAAGATCAGATTATTTTATTTAAGAATTTTATTTTATTATGTAAGTTTATGAATTTATTAATTTGTTAATTAATTAAATTATTTTATTTATGTAAGTTTATGTATTTATTAAGAATTTTATTTATGTAAGTTTATGAACTATATAAATTTACATAAGTTTATGTACTACATAAACTTACATATCAACATACATGTTGATGTTGCTTATGTAGGTTACAAAACAAACCCTTTATTAGATATGAAAGATTAGCTCTACCCGTAGCCCAGGTATATTCTAATAGGTAGACAGGTAGAAAGTGACCCTCCCAGAGCCAACTATTCCCAGCCTTTTCCTGTTTTGACCAGCTAGGTAGGTGGCATAAGGGAGTGTGGGGCAAGGGCACTGGGGAGCTGGGGTCATGGAAAGAGGAGCTGGACTCAATGACTTTACCATCATTTCTACCTCTGACATCAATCCTCCCAAATGGAATCTCTCACTATATTGTGACTAGGGATAACCGTTGGATTCTTTATTAAAATACCATACAATTCCACAAATCTTTCTATTTCCATCTTTAAGTGTTTTATAATTACTTGCATCAAACTACATAAGATACTGTATATGCTCTTTTTGACATTAAAAAACTAAGTGTTTTGTTGCCTGGTGGAAGTTTGAGAACAAATCAAAATGTTTATCTCTCTTGGATTTTATTTTATACAATGTAGTGAGAAGCAGTGAGAGAAATCGCTTTCTTGAAGTAGAGTCCAGAGTGAATTCAGCAGTCTCCATGGGCCCCTTCCCACACCATTTTGGGGGGAATGAGGAGGCAAAGCTGGATACTTCGCTATAAAATAACGCTGCTTTGTGTTTGTCTACTCCCTCTTAAAATGCAAAATGCCAAAACCTGCCCCCTCTGTCTTCCCAATACCCCCAGTGGTTGTCATGGGATCAGAGAATTTATATCTAAAGAAGAGAAAAGCAAGGCCAGTTAATTCACTGAATCCAAGAAGAAAGCTCAACAACATAAGTAATGACAATAATGGGTCTGGTTTCCCTCATAAGACACATCATAACCTAATAGGCTTCCAACTGCCCAACTCTCAAACACAGCGTATCAAATTTTCAGGCTAGCACCTTGTTTTTCAGAGGTCCAACTACCTTCTCCACATCTACTGTACCAGTCCCATTCCCCTCATTCAAAGTCTGTGACAGGGATGATGGATTGTCTTCTCATATCCATTCTCTCCTTTCTTATCATAGAACCCCTATATATTAGTTGGGCCATCGCCACTCAAAGACTACATTTCCCAGCATCCCCTGCATCCAGCTGTGGCCATGTGGCTAAAGTCTGTCTAACAGAATTTGAGTTTAAAATGCTGAGGGCAATTTCTGAGTTATCCCTTCATAGGAAGGGCTGCATTCTCTTTCCTCTTTTCCTCATCTATTGGCTAGAAAGTGGATGTGCCAGTGAGCCAATGTGGGCCATGGGAAGGAGGGCTAGAAGGGTTGGCAGAGCAACAAGATGGCAGAGCAACAAGATTCGAGGTCTCTGACAGAAGCCACCAAAATTGGTTATAACCAAACAGGTTATATCCTGAAGGAAACATGAATGCACGTTTTGTTAGAATCACTATTATCTTGGCATTTTGGACTATTTGACTTTTATCCTAATCATTATGTGACCCAACGTACAAAAACAATCTGGAGAGCTATGTACATGGAGCCCATAAAGATGGGACTACTCTTAACTGAATACCTCTTTGCAATGATAAAACCATGCTGAAGGACTCTGGACTTAAATCTCTGACCCCGATTTCAGATTCCACCTTTACTCCCTTTCACGCTGTATTTTTCTCCCACTGCTGGAAACCCAGGTTATTTGTTTCCAGAAATGAAGCTAGAGGTCATCTTGTTTGCTAGCCCAGACAGGGAGCTACTATACTGTAAGGACGTCCACTGAGCAAAGCTGAGAGAAAGCACGAAGTGGGAGAGGTTCTGCTGCCAAATAGCTTTGTGATCTTAGAGATGCCACTTTGCTCCTCTGGGCCAAAGTTTCAACACCAAAATTCTACAATTGCTCTAAAATGACCTTGTTGGTAGCTAATAACCTTGGATTCAACTTCACAGTTGACTCTACAAGTTGAGACTGGGCCTTGGTTGTGAATATCTAGCATCATTACATGGAAGGCACCAAAGGAAGAGAAAAGTGCTATCTTCCAAACGTCTTTCTTTCAGTGGCCTCGAGGAAGGCTATGTGGGCCAGAGTGGTGGTAGGAGTTGGGGGGATTCTGTTGCCTGAGTGGTCCCAGAAAGCTAGAAAGTATCTTCCAGAGTTTCACAGGAAGGGCAGCACTGACTTTGGGGCTGTACAAATCTTCCTTGTATAGGTCTGTCCTGTGTACTGTAGGGAAAACAGCCTCCCTGAGGCCTGTCCATGAAAATGTCCATGCTTATGTCCACATGCCCCAGAGGGAACCAAGGAACCCCCAGCTGGGAACCACTACTAGGTCATTTTACAGTCAAAGAGAGATTCAAAGGGGTTCAGTAACTTTGTCCAAGATGACCTCTGCTGTGATGACAGAGCTGGGACTCCATAACCAGTCTCATGATTCCTGCCTCCGTTTTCTCTCTCTAACCTTGGATAAGACCCAAGTGCAATCATGGTTCTGGGTCACCAGACCAGTGGACTCCAAAGCAGGATGATGGTGCATCCCCGTGGGTGAGCAAGACAATCTTTTGAGATGCCAGAAGAAAAGAACTTTCTATTTTTGTCTTATCTCCTCCTTTAAGGTTCTGTGGAATATTCTAATGTACATAATATACTAGTAGAGTAGCATATGCATAATTTATAAATACATGTGCATGTTCAAATATTTTTTACCAATGATATGAATGATTAGAAAGTGTGGAGCCTACCAGTCTAAACCCTCGCTTCTATTTCCAACTCTAAAAAATGACCAAATTGCCCTGCTTTGTTTTACTACTTATTTTTTCCAGGTTGAAACCTGCAGGTTGTTCTAAGAAAAAAGTAAGTGTCAAACGCTTTTTGGCAAATCATCAAAGGATATAACCCGACCTGTTTGGCAGTCAATCCAGCAAGTCAAGTGATTTGAGGTGACCTGATCCTGGCTTATTGGGAAGGTCTAGAATCCTTAGGGAAAGTGAGGAAAGGAGAAGGAAGGGTGGGGGGAGGGGAACCACCCTGCAGTAGTGCTCAGTCATTTAAATATCTTCTCTCCTTTCAGTCTTTTTCACCCAGTTATGGAACAGAGCTTAAATTACTTCAACCTTTAAAAATGTTCCCCTTAACCTCACTCTGCTGTGTGAGATGAAGCAGCACAGAGGAGAATAAAAGAACCTTCTTTCTAAATGATTAAAAATTCACCTGGTATGCTCCGCTGTCCCTGCTCACACTAGAACTAAGCACTCTCCCTCAGGCCTCAATCAGTAGGAGCGAGATGTGGGAAAATCAACATTTTGATGAAAAGAGACCCCTCTGAATCCTGAGTTGGGACAAGGATTTAACTTTTCTGAAGCATACTTACAAAAATCACCCGGTGATCAGACTGTCCCTGCAGAGGAGAAACAAAAACAGAACAACATGAAAGGAAAGGGAAACTTCCAGGTTGCAAATAAACCAGAAGAGCAGCGCCCCCTTCCACAGAGAGACACAGGCAGCGAACAAACAGCTTCCTTCAGAGCTCTGTTGCCCCCTCGCTCAGTGCTTGTTCCACGCCAGCTGCGGTACTGAGGGTGCCACGGCCGGGACCCTGTTTAGTGATCACACAGGTCAGAGGGTTCCCAAACTTTCTCTGCTGACAGCACCTTTGCTGTCTCAGGAATATTTTTACAGCACCTATGATACCAAAGAAATGCCCAAGTGTTCCATTTATTCTGTAGTTTTACCCAAACAACCTGGTAGTGGTCGTTCACACAGATGTCCCTCTTTCCCTTGAGAAGCTGCAACATTCCGCAGCACCCCCGTGAGTTTGCTGCACAGCCTGGAGCAGCTGGCACTGTTTGGGAATCCCCAGATATGCTTCCATGATATAGATACTATTTGGATCCCTGTTCTGTCTATGAGAGAACTGAGATCCGGTAGGATTAGCTTGTTGTAATACAGCACACTGAATTCAAGTCCTGAATCCAGAACTCACTGTTATACCAGACACTTCCCCCCTTCCTGACTCACTGTCTTTATGTCCTCGCATGATTTCCTCTCTCCACTCTGGACATTCTGCACCTCCCCCCACTCCCCACCGGAACGCACGAGCACGCGAGCATGAACACACACACATGCATGCCTGTCCTCTTGGTTCACACCATTTCTTTTGATTTCAGTGCTCCTCCCTCTCCTGTGCCTTTCTAGAAACTGCTCCTGCTTCAGTACTCAGCCCCTAGTTGGACCACTTGTTCATATACTAATCTCTCCCTCTTCGAAACTTCAGTCTACTAAGCGGTATGTTAATGACATCGGTCTTACGTTGCTTTCCAACTGCTTATCAACGAGAATGGGATTTTCCCAATAAGACTGAAATCTGCCTGAGAATCGGGACTCTGTGTTATCCTATACTGGGCATATAGCAGCAACTGTGAAAGTCTGTTGAAATGGGCAAGGCATAATTTGCTGGCATACTCTAATGCCTGGATGTAATTAACAGACAGAATGTATTTAACATAAAGGCAGTGATCATCAGAAATGATGATCTATCTGGCTTCTTCACATTTTAAAACCAAAGGCTTTTAAATATACCATTTTATTTGAAACTCACAACAGTGTAATTATTATACCCCTTTCATGGGAGAAAGGTAAGGCTTAGCCAGGTGAGGGGACTCTGGCCAAAGTTACCCAACCTGTAAAGTGCAGGAAGGATGTCTGAAAGCTCAGGGTGCCTATTTCTCCCCTGACCCCGTGCTTCACATTTGCACTGCCGTGTCCTCCCCAGAGATGCCAGTGTTCGGGGCAGGATCTCAATTCCAGAGGCACTGCCCAGACTCTAAGACACCTGTCACCGTCACTGTGCCCTCGATGCCTGGACCATGTTGCAGGCTGATGGCTGGGGATACTGCTGGCTCCTTGGCAGGGTCCAGGTGCTTGTTGAAAGTGCTGAGATGAGATACAACCTCAACTCAAGGATTCCTCAGTGGGCTAAGCCGGTCTCCCCTTTGAGGATAAAGTAAACCATAGAGGTTGGGGCTGAGGGCTTCTGGGGCAAATGAGGGCAGCTGGCACCAAAGTCTGAGATTAAAAGTGTATCCTGCAAAAAGTACACACAAGCTGCAAATGTGTACCTCTTCTTTCTGAAGAGCTTTTGTAAAAACTTAAAATTTAATTAAAAAAAAAAAAAAAAAAAGCCAGAGCAAGGCTCAGAAGTCAGCCTGCGCTGGGTTCCAGTGGACGCTGTTCCTCACTAACGTGTGATGTGGGGAGAGTGATTTCACCTGAGAGTGAGTCTTGGCATCCTCGTCAGTAAAATGAAGTCATAGGATAGTTGTGACGATTAAATGCGAAAGCGAATGGAAAGCAGGAGGAATAGCGCCTGGCAGGTAACAGGTGTCCAGGGAGCAACAGCTTGCACGTGAGGCTTCCGCGCCTGCAGTGGGCGCGGACTCCGCAGTCGCCAACACCCCCACCGCCGCCGCATTCTGGCCTCTGGGGCTGGATGCTTGCAGAGCAATTCAAAAGGCTCTAGCCTCTTGGAGAATTGTAGTAGAACGGGGCAGCGGGGGGAGGAGAGTGGAGGAAAGAAAACAGAACATGCCTAAGGCAGGAAAATTCACCCACGGAGACCTTGACAGGAAAGAGGAAAAGAAATAGATGGAGAGGCGGTCGCTGGTGAGTGGAAGGACCGGGCACCGGAGCTTGACAAGAAAAATAAACAACTTGGACCGTTTGAATATACATTTCAAATTACATCATTTTCTTCTGCATTGTGTCTCCAGGCACTTGGGAGGATACAGATGGGTCATATTTATTTATAAAGCTTTATGGGGATTTTTCTAAAAAGTCGGCATCGAACTTCATGAACGAAAAAACAGCTGTAAGGTGGCTGTTTTCTCACTGGATGAAGCGGGGGGCGGGTTGAGTCCAGGATGGAAGTGCTTCCCCAGAACCCTTTCTGCACGCGCCTGCCTTCCTGGACACGCGGGCCGAGGCGTGTGATGAGGGCGTGTGCATGAAGATGTGTGTAAAGTCCAGAGGACTATGTACACATGATTATTACATATGACACACACACGATCAGAAATCCTTCTGACTATCGCTGCAATGCCAACCACAGGTGCTCTTGGAGGGGGCGGCCTCGCTGCCACTACTCACCGGGGCCACGGGGTCCTGGAGTAGCACATGATGTGACCGCTCCTGTAGGGATTTATCCGCGCCCACCTCAGAGTAGAAGACCTGGAAAAGAGGCAGGCATCGGGGTGAGAGCCGGGCCAGCACTCCTATAGCAGATCTAGGGCCCGGGGTTCGAGCTCCGGACACAGCCGCCGGGGGGGTTGGAGGGGCTCCAAGGTGCGCCGCCTCACTGACCCTGCTGACCCTGGTTCTACAACAAACATCAGCTCCCCGGTGGCCGGACTCGCACACCCATGAGCCTACAGACCCTGGGAGGGAGATGTGTGCCAGTGAAGTGAGAGGGAGGGGCTGGACCTAGTCTTCCCCAAACCACGACTTTCTCGGGTCATCTTCCATTGTCCCACTTTTTATGTAACGGGAGTTCAGAAACACATTTCTCTGCCTTAAGAAGACAATAGGAGGAGGGCCTATTTTTGGTGAAAAGGAGGCAGTAGGGAGTTGCAGATCTGGGTGTTATGGGGAGCGGGAGGGGTGTTCTGTCCCATCTAAAGTGGGCAGCCCAGCTCCAGTGGGCTCGGTGCCCCATAGGAATGTGGGCCTGGTGTGGCCCGCTCTCTGGATATTCCCAGAGCTTTCAGAACTCAAATACTTATTTGAAATCTCCTAACTCCTAGAAGTTGACTCATTTTTATAAACCTTGTTCAAACAAAACACATTGGTGAACCTCTCCCCTGGTAGGTAGGAATGCACTCTCTGTTCCCTCCCCCACTTTGCCTATCCATGACTTTACTTTATTCCCATGTTGCTGCTTTAGCCTCCGAATTTGACCGTGGGCAGTTGGATAGCAGGAACCATATCTTCTACTTAGTTTACATTTTCCCCCTTCCTGAACAGAGTAAGGACTCCATAGATCCTAACAGACTTTCAGGCACTTACAAATACCCTTAAAAGGGAAACATTTGCTCTGGTTTCATGTAAGGAAACCGGGGCAGTGATTAATTGGGGAGGGTTGGTATAAGCAGGCCCTCTGTAGGAGAAGCAAGGGTGGGAAGGGCGTACAGTTACCGGGACGACACCCATGACCGAGATCGCTGGGCCCCGGTACTCACAGTATAGCCCGTGATGGGGCTCCTGGGATGCCTGGGCATTCTCCACTGGATGCTGAGAGCTGTGCAATTCAAGGCGAATAGCATGATATCCAGAGGAGGCTCCACTTTGCCTGCCCCAAAGCAAAAGAGACTGTGTCAGAAGTTCCGAGCTTGTGTCTATTGATGGAAAGATGATGCCGCAGGACAGAAATCAGACACCTCTCTGGCATGCCACACCTAATTCAGCTGACTTCACCAGAACTCTGCTGTCCCCTCCCAGCCTGGCAATCGTATGGCCCTCAGTCCCTTCTGTAACTTCTAGCACCCAGAGGCCAGCAAAGGGAAACCAAGCACTTCCGACTTGACTCTAGGGGCATGGAATGTATCAAAGGAAGACGATGAAATTCTTTTTTCTTTTTACTTTGTAACATATATATGTTTTATAAGTATTTTATGTAACTACGTCTGTTTACATAGTTCACTTATTCCTATTACAGAACATCTCAAAAATATGGTTAAGTGTAAAATGGAGTTAGAAAACTTCAAATGTTTTACAGTAGCAAACTTCAAATCTTTTACTGTATCCTTATCATAAATAATTTCATGGTTATGAATAATACATTTTATGTTTATAAATATAACATATGCAGATTGCCAAAATTTAGGAATGAGTCCTGTCAACATTTGAATACAATACTTCCTTTTGGTTACATGCAACTTTTTGTAAGATATCTGTATGTAAATATAGATATGTAGATATAGATATATACACATACATATGTACATATATTTTTATGTATATAAAATTTTTATTTTTCTCTATTGTGTTCATTATATAGAATAAATATATATACATATATAGTCATAATTTTAAATCTTATAGTTATATAGTTATATATATTATATATATAGTTAGATATATACTCATATAGTGTATCTATATATATATATGTAAACTGAGAGTATATATTTATCAATCTAATTATTTTTAATGGCTGTTAGTTCTCCTGTACACAGTAATTCCCCCTTACCTGTGCAGGATACTTTCCAAGACCCCCAGTGGATGCCTGAAACCACAGATAGTACCAAACCCTATATATACTATTTTTTCCCTATAAATATATACCTATGATACTTTATTTATTAACTAGGCAGTGTAAGAAGTTAACAATAATAACATAGAACAATTACACTAACATACTGCAGTAAAAGTTATATGACTATGGTCTCTCTCAAAATACCTTATTGTACCATACTCACCCCTCCTTTTGTGATAATGAGAGGTGACAAAATGCCTACACAATGAGGTAAAGTGAGGCAAATGGCTTAGGCACTGTGATGGAGTGCTAGACTGCTCTTGACCTTCTGATGATGTGTCAGAAGGCAGATCATCTGTGTGCAGACTGGCTGACGGTGGGTAACTGAAATCCTGACGTTGAAACCACAGACAGGTGGGGGATGACTATACTGCATATGCCACAATTTACACTCTTTCTCGTTCCACTCTTGTTAGACAAATTAATTCATTTCCAGTATTTTGCGATTTTAAATAATGCTCCATGACTGGCACCAGGGTGCCTCAGTCCTGCATCGGGCTCCCTACTCAGTGGAGAGTCTGCTTCTCCCTCTCCCTCTGCCCCTCCCCCTGCTTGTGCTCTCTCATATGCTCCCTCTCTCTCAAATAAATAAGTGAAATCTAAATCAATCAATCAATCAATCTCCATGAGGGCAAGAACTAGGTATGTCCAGTTCAGAGCACAGAGACTAATAAATGTAAGAGTTTGGGTGGATGAATTTCTTCCATTTGATTTCCCACTTAACAGTATAGGCTGATGATCCTTCTTTTTAACAACTGTGTAGAATGCTCTAGCATATCACTTAGGTTACATAGTCTGCAATTCACCAAGATCTTAAGGTGTCAATTTATTAGACTGCTGCTGGGGCTTCCCATCCATGTTTTTAATAACAGAAACCAAGGCCTTTCTGGCGGCCCAACTAGTAGAGGCTCAGTGCTGTCACTTGGTAAGAACTGCCAGTCTAGGAGGCAGCTCCCACCCCACCCCCCCACCCCGCCCACAGACACCTACCACTGCCACCACTGGTGTCACTCAGGGGGTTGGTCTTTAATTACTCTCCGGCTCCACCTTGGTTCAAGATCTAAAGTCCCATCTGGTTGGCCAAACTTACGTAATGTGACTCCCTCCTGACTCAACCAAGGGGTCAGAGAGGAAAGATCAGGTTTTTTTCCAGTTTCCAAACTAGGAACTGACAGGATTAAGGGAGTCTTGGGAATAGTTCTTCTATTGATCCCATCCATAGTACTGAAAGCTCCTTAGAGGAGAATCAGATCCTAGGAAAAGACCACTGGGTGGTGGGAAGGCCAAGTACTCTGCTACTTAGAGCACATACGCACATTAACTTATTCGACAGATTGATATTTAGGTTGTTTCCAAAATTTCATTGTTAAAAATAATGCTGAGAATATTTGTGTATGTGCCTTTTTGTTCACATCTGAGTATTTCTATGATGGATAATTAAAAATTATGGATATAGCTATACTAATACAGTGAAGTACACATTCTTTTCAATTGCACATGGAATATCTTCAGAATGGATTATACATTAGGCCACGAAATAAGACTCAACAAATTCAGAAAGACTAAAGTCATACCATCATCTTTTCCAACCACAACAGTTTGACAGCAGAAATCAACCACAAGAAAAAAATCTGAAAGACCGCAAATACATGGAGGTTAAATAACGTGGTACTGACAAATGAATAGTTAGCCAAGAAATCAAAGAGGAAATAAGAAAATACATGGAGACAAATGAAAATGAAAATACAATGGTCCAAAATCTTTCAGCTGCAGCAAAAGCTGTTCTAAGAGGGAAGTTTATAGCAATACAGGCCTACCTCAAGAAGCAAGAAAAATCTCAAATAAACAACCTAACCTCACATGCAAAGAAGCTAGAAAAAGAACAAACAAAACTCAAAACCAATAGAAGGAGGGAAATAATAAAGATTAAAACAGAAATAAATAAGAACTAAAACAAAACAAAACCAATAGAACAGATCAATGAAACCAGGAGATGGTTCTTTGAAAACATCAACAAAACTAATAAACCTTTAGCCAGACCCATCAGAAAAAATAAAGAAAAGGAAAAAAAAGTGAGAGAGTGTGAGAAAGTGAGATAAAGAGAGGACACAAAGTCACAAATGAAAGAAGAGAAATAACAACTGACAACACAGAAATACAAAGGATTATAAGGGAGTTTTATTAAAAAATTATATGTCAACGAATTGCTAAATTAGAAGAAATGGATAAATTCCTAAAAACATATAACCACCCAAAATTGAATCAGGAAGAAATGCAAACTTTTAACAGATGGATTACCAGCAATGAAACTCAATCAGTAATCAAAAATATTCTCAAGAAACAGAAGTCCAGGACCAGCAAGCTTCACAGGTGAATTTTACCAAAGAGTTAAATTAGAGTTAATAACACGTTTTTCTCAAACTATTCCAAAAAATAGAAGAGGGAAGAAAGCTTCCAAATTCATTCTATGAAGCCAGAATTACCCTGATATCAAAACCAGATAAAGACACTATAAAAAAAGAACTATAGGCCAATGTCTCTGATGAACATAGAAACAAAAACCTTCAACAAAATATTAGTGAACCAAATCCAATAATGCAATAAAAAAAATCATTCACCATGCTCAAGAGAGATTTATTCCTGGGATGCAAGGATAGTTTGATTTTCACAAATCAATCAACCTAATATATCACATCAATAAGAGAAAGGATTAAAACCATATGATCATTTCAATAGTTGCAGAAAAAGCATCTGACACAGTATGGCATCCATTAATGATAAAAACCTTCAACAAAGTTAGGTTTAGAGAGAACATACCTCAACATAATAAAGGCCATATATGTAAAACTCACAGCTAACATGATATTCAATGGTGGAAAACTGAGAGCTTTCTTCCTAAGATCAGAAACATGATAAGAACGTTCACTGCCACCATTTTTATTCAACATAGTACTGGAAGTCCTAGCCATAGCAATCAGACAAGAAAAAGAAATAAAAGGCATCCAAATTGGTAAGAAAGAAGTAGAACTTTCACTGTTTACAGATGACATGATACTGCTATATATATAGGAAAACTTAAAGACTCCACCAAAAAACTGTTAGAACTGATAAGTGAATTCAATAAGGTTGCAGGATACAAAATCAACATACAGATATCCATTACCTTTCTCCACACGAATAATGAAGTAGCAGGAAGAGATTAAGAAAACAACCCCATTTAAGATTACACCAGAAATAATGAAATACCTGGGAATAAACTTAACCAAGGGGGTAAAAGAAGTGCACTCTGAAAACTAAAAAACATCGATTAAAAAAACTGAAGATGACACAAACAAATGGAAAGATCTTCCATGCTCCTGGATTGGGAAAACAAATATTGTTAAAATGTCCATACTACCCAAAGCAATCTACAAATATTTTTACAGATATTTTATTTTTCTGCATATATCCCTCTACAGAGAGCACAAGTAAGGGGAGCAGCAGGCAGAGGGAGAAGCAGAATCCCCACCAAGGAAGGAGCCTGATGAAGGACTCAATCCCAGGACCTGAGCTGAAGGCAGACGCTTAACTGACTGAGCCACCCAGGAGTCCCTCAATCTACAGATTTAATGCAATCTCATTCAAAATACCAAAGCATTTTTCACAGAACTAGAACAAATAATCCTTAAATTTGCATGGAATCACAAAGACCCTGAATAGCAAAGTAATCTTGAAAAAGAAGAACAAACTGGAGGTATCACAATCCCAGATTTCAAGATATACTACTATATACTACATACACATAGATGAATAGAGTAGAATACAGAGCCCAGGAACAAACTCAAATCATATGGTCAACTAGTCTTAAACAAAGGAGGCAAGAATAGGCAATGGGTAAAAGACAGTCTCTTCAACAAATGGTGATGGGAAAACTGGACAGCTACATGCAAAAGAATAAAATTGGTCCACTTTCTTATACCATATACAAAAATAACCTCAAATGGATTTAGGTCCTAAATGTAAGACCTGAAACCATAATTTTTTTTTTCAATCTG